TGGTTTCTCTGCATTTTAGTTAATCCAAAATATTTTTCAGATTGTTCAATGTTATCATCATTTGAGGCGTATGCCTTTATATTTATAAATTATACTCAATTACAATAAATCAAGTAAATATTCCAATATCATAGTGGTTTGACCAAAATAACGCAGTGGTTTGACCAAAAAAAAAAAACTCAATCATGTGGTTTGAGGCTAAATTATCAAAGAAATCACCTAGAGACGATGTCTAGAAACAAACACTAAATAATTCAAGAGAAAAAGACATTATTATACCAAATAGCATTAATGTCATTTTGATCCCCAAATGGCAGAATCATCTCATCCCCACCACCACCAAGCCCTATATGACGATCTTGTAGGTTCATCATGCCCATGAAACATGGTTGCCTCTGCATAGTCTTCATATTGTTCGTCTAAAAAGCATGCCTCTCTATTCCATGATATGTTGTTATAGGCACTCAGTCCTGTTGGTTACTTGTTGGTTCTACTTCGACTTGTTTCTTCTCAGCCTCCTCATTCAGACTCTTAATCTAGGAGTGAATCTCCTTCATGTTTTGGTCAATGCTTAGGACATGGCTCGTGTGATTGGGCGATTAGATACAGGGAGTTGGTATGTAGTCTTCTTCTTACAGCCTCCTATGGTTGCAGCAATATCTAGAAAGCTCAGTTGGGATAAAAATTAGATGAAAAGGGTTGCTTCGAGGGAACCCAAAACATCCAGGTTAGATCAGCTAATAGTAGGAATATTATCTGCTGTCCCATTAATGAAAAGCCATTGAAATTTATACATAGACCAGACTCTAACTAAAAGCATAAAAATAGGAGATACTTTCTCACGACATCTCTCCACTATGACTCCTACAGTTACTCAACTAAAGTTTAAAAGACATGCAACTCTATCAGTATTCAACAACTAAAGACATGTAGCCATTACTTTAAGCAATTCCACTAAGCACGTGACATTCCTTACCCCATTTGAAAAATTGAGATCGAGGGAATAGATTTGGGGAAGAGCTCCATCTTTATTTTCCTCCACCTCTTGCCAAACGTCACGTTCACTTTCCATATTTTTTTGTTGGAGGTGGCACTCCTTTGAGTACCACATCTTATCCACCAATGTTAAATGCCATTTGCAATTTAGGTTAATTAATTTTTTAAAATTTTATTGTTAGTAATTAAATAATATATTTGCCTTATTTAATTAGTTAAATTAGTAATTATATTTGAAAAGAGAGCTACTTAAAGGGTATAGCTGCGCGACTGGACATTTCAAATATTATATTTTTGGAGTATAGCCGTGCGGCTGTACTTTGAAGATATTCTTTGGTGCCCTTTGTGAACACCCCACATCGAAAATCCACAATCCTATAAAGGTCTTTATAAACAAAGCACTATGATGGTTTGGTAAGTGTGATTAAAATTGGAGAATTGGGGTAATGGGCTTGGCTATAGGCTTGGCTTTGGATTTGGCGCTGATTAATAATAATTATATTAATCAAAGGCTTAGGCCTTGGGGCTCTTGGACTTTGGAGAAATTTAATTAAGACACCCAAACGAAAATAAGTAATTTATTTTTTTCGTTTTTGACATATCCTTTCAATTTAAATTTGAATGAAATTAGGTTTATAACTGTTGTGGTTTGAAAATTGTACAAAATAAGTTAAAATAATTAATTACTATTTATTTAGTAATTTATGAAATATTCATGAATTATATTACTTAATTGAATATTAATTCAATTTTTTTCTTTAATATTCACTAAGTAAATAATAACTAAAACATAATTACTAATCAAAGTAATTAAAAAAGAGAAATTCATATTATGCTACTTAAAGGGTATCGCTGCTCGGTTATACTTCTAAAATATTCTTTTTTGGAGTATAGTCGCTTGGCTATACGTTGAATATATTACAATTATAGAGTATAGCAGTGCAGCTATACTATTAAAATATTCTATTTTTGGGATATGGCTGCGCATCTAGACTTTTAAAATATTCTATTTATAGAATGCTACGTGGCTATACTATTAAGATGTTATATTTATAGATTGGGTGCAAGTTTAATGACTACCAATAATTTTACAATATTATAAGATTATGGTGTTTTATGTACAGGTTATTGAGGGCTTTTGAATTAAAACGTCACACCTAGAGGTTCATTTGTTCTAACCCCACTCAATGTGTATTGGACCTAAATAGTTTAGGTGATGACAATATCGGTGCATACTAGGATTTAGTAATGGGCTCTTACAGTGCTCGTGACTCAGGAATTGGTTTCAGAGTTTAGTTCGCTACTAATTGCACTGAGGCCTTTTGAGTTAGAACTCAACATGTCCATTAAGCCTACTTATCGGACATAAATATTGATGCATGCTAAGGTTTAATAGTGGGCTCTTGTGTGGCCCGTGACATAACAATTGGTGGTTGAGTTAGGTCAGCTACTAATTGCATTGAGGCCTTTTCAGTTAAAGTCCCTCGTATAGAGGTCTATTGGGCCAATGTATTTGACCTAGGTGGATAAAGTGAAGACGAATTGTACATGCTTGGATTCAGTGGTGGGCTCCCACAGAGCTCGTTACATAACAACAAGATCACCAGTGCTAATCGGAAATCCATACAACGAATAATGTTAATCTTATGTAATTCTTATCCAAGAAAACAGGGATACATAGACAGATAGATAGCTTTCGAGGTAATCTGAGCTAGAGGTATATAAAAAGTTAGACTACTTGTAGAGCAAAACAAGATCCACAATTATATGCAATTACAATAAATCAAGTAAATACTTCAATATATATATTGGAATTAAACAGTGACAAGATTATTAACACACCCACCAACCAACCACTACATATATATATATATATATATATATTGTAGTTTACTTTTAGTGCATAAAATTCATCAAGAAACTAAATGTGAACACAGCTTCGTTTGAAGAAGAGGCTAAAATTATCAAAGAAATCACTTAGCCTAGAAAACAAACGCTAAATAGTAAAATATTTCAATGGAAAAAGGCATTATTAGACCAAATGGCATTAATGTGGTTTTGATCTCCAAATGGCAGCATCATCTCTTCCCCAGCACCAAGCCCCATGTGCTGTTCTTGAGGGTTCATCATGTCTGTGAACCATGGTTGCCTCTCCATTATTCCTTGATCTGCTGCTGTCGCATGCACTGGCAATCCTGTTGGTTCCAGTTGGACTTGTTTCTTCTCAGCCTCCTCATTCAGACTCTTAATCTTGTTGTGAATCTCCTTGAGGTTCTGGTCGATGAGCCACCCAAGGTCGTTGAGATCGATCATGCTCAAACCCTGGAGGGGCTTCCCAGTGAGACTCTGGAACATCACTCTTGTCATCTCCTTCTCCCTGTTGTCCTTCCTTTGTTTCTTGAGCTGCTCCTTGGCTTTCTCAATCCTTTGCCGCAAAAAACTCTCTTGATTCACCATCTTTTTGCTCTGCTCCATCTCCGGCATGGTCTTGAATTTTGCAAGAACGCGTTGCACTCCCAGAGGGGATGGCCAAATCTCAGGTTGAGTATCATATGGGCTATAAATAATAGCACATGCCTCAACATCACAAAGGGTGCTGAGTTCGCTCACCTTCTTCATCAGACCCTTCTTCCTTTTCTTGAATGTTGCTTTTCTAGCAGAGTCATTACTGATATAAGTCAGTTTCACCTTCTTTCTAGACATGACTCTCTCTCAGACAACAAAAAATGAAATGAAAATTGCAAACTAGGAAGAAGATGATGCTTTTGTTGGTTTTCTTAACAGACAAGCCTATCCTATATATAGAGTAGCAAAGGGCAACCTAATAAATTCTAGGAGATTCCATTTTGAATGAGAATTTAATTCAGGAGATTTGGTTTTTTCTTTTTCTTTTCCCATACAATCTGGTATTACACGAAGGGGGAATGAACACTCGGCTCCAAATGTGGGAGATTTGGTGTTGTATGTAGATTGGGTGCAAATTTAATGACCGCTAACAACTTTACTATGTTAGAAGATTATAGCGTTCTATGTACATGTTCATTTGGACCAATAGTCTCTGAACTTATCCACGAGTTACATTTTAGTCATTTAACTCGTTTTTTAATTATGTAGTCCTTCAACTCAGCCACGCCGGCCTCACAAATTAGTCTTTCTGTCAATTCATTTAAATTGTTTTGTTAAGTTTAGGGGTAGATGAGGAATTTAGAGACATATGATATTTATGGGGTCTACAAAGTGGGGGATTGGTCGGTCTTCTAATCGGTGTAAGAAAAAGTTGTGGGGGAGTTGGGTTACTCGGGGTAATTTAATCAATTTTGTTCATTTATTTTTATTTTTAGGTAATAAAATATAATTTATGGATATAAATTTAGGGATCATTACTCTAAATTAACACTGAAGTTCATCTTGATTTGCTGAATAAATTAGCCATTATCAAATATGTGTGGGCATGACAAAACCAGAGGGGTCTCTAAATAGGACTTATGTTAGGGGAAATGAGGTTTTCACATAATTGGTAATTATGAGTTAGTTATTGGTAGGATAGTGTGAAATCTCAGGGGATTCTATTAGCAAAACTGAAGTTGTAATGTAATTCAGAAAATCTATTAACCTGAGTTGATTGGATAATGAATATGTGATTTTTTTTTTATTGATTTAGGTTAGCATGTTTTTGAGTTTCCGACTCAATTCGATTCACCAGTTTAGATATTCACCCCTAATAAAGTTGCGATTCGATTCACCAGTTTAAATGTCCACCCCTAATGAAGTTGTCGAGATGCATTTTTCATGCTCGTCGATTTTTTTATGCCGGATGTCTGTCCCAAGGGACTTTTTTTACACGTTTTCTATAAAATGAAATAATTCATAAATAAGAAAAATTCTGATAAGCGTTGCAAAAATTTCCATTTTTCAATCACTTGAATTAATTGGTTTTCTTCTTTTTTGACATTACTGGAATTTCGTTTTTCTTCCTCCATGTTACGAGTTACGACTAACAAAAAGACAAAGAAAACCACTCATAATTAATACCGTTGCATTTGCACCACACTGTTAGTAACAAAAGCCTTCTGATCATTCTAATTGAAAAATAAACACAAATTTAAAACAAAATATAAATAAAACCGAGTCGAGTCCAGTCGAGTTGAGCCGAGTCAACTCGTCTAACTCGAACCGAGCCGGTCGAGAGCATCCCTCGCGACTTTCAATCTGGGCTGGACCTTCAGCGCCGCCTCGTAGGCCTTCCTGGCCTCTTCTGTCATCTTCTTCCCCTCGTAGCACTCTCCGAGCGTACAAAACGCCTTCACATTCTCCGGGCTCAGCTCCACAGCCCGAGTCAAATCGGCGATCACCAAGTCAACCTGGCCGCGTCGGTTCATCGACAGCCTGATCTCCGCCCTCTTGACGAGCGCATCGCCGCGCTCCTCCTCAGTGAGGCTCTTGGCGGCGAAAGGGGAGAGAGCGACGTCGATGGCGTCGAGGGCGGAGGTCTTGTAGCCCTGAGAGTCGAGGGCTAGGGCTTTGAGGATGTGGGCGGCGGCGTCCTTGGGGTCGAGGGAGATGGCCTTTTCGGCTTCGTCGAGGGCTTGCTGGGAGAGGGAGGAAGCGGAGGAGGGAGAGGCGGCGGATCGGGCTTGGGCGAGGAGCTGGGCGCCGACGACGAAGTGGCGCTTGGCTTGCGCTTTGGGTTTGTTGCGGAAGCGGAAGCGGAGATTGGCGAGGAGCTTCTGGGGGATGTTGTGGATGGCAAGGAAGGCGACGACGACGACGAGGATGAGGCCTGCTTGGAGAAACAAGTCTTTAACCATCTGCGACATCATTTTGGGATTGAATTGGATTGGACTGGACTAGATTGTTTTGGATGTCTGTGTGTTGGATTTTGGGAATTTTGTTTGTGAATTGTGAGATTGGGATTAGATTGTGAATTGGGTCGACTATGTTGACTAGAACCTGGCTTTTGGATTTGGATATTTAATGAAGCCGCCTTCTTGTTGGTGTTGGGAGGGACCAATGAGCTATGACTATTATTTTGATAGAATAGTGGAATCAACCTTCAACCGCAGAGCAAATGTTCTTAACTACTTGAATTATAGACGTAATTTTTAACAACGCACCTTCTTATAAAGAACTCTCATGTTTGAGTTGAAGACGATTAGATCGCCACCAGCTATCTAATGTACTTATTTTAGATGACTTTATCTGTGCATTAAGAAATCTAGTGTTCACGTTTGGCAACTTGATGCCATCTTTGCTTGCCATCAATTGCTACGGAGATACTTGCAAGAAAACGTTCTAAATCATACATTTTTCTCCTATTTGTGTTCGTGAGTTTTCTAAGCATTTGAGTCTTTGGCTCCGGGTCTCATACTTCTTATGTCTCTCCATGATGCACAAGTACAACTCATGGGTGTGTTGCCGATAACATAATCGTGGAACATTGGACATGCTTGCCTTGGTTATTGAGTTTCGCTAATCTCGTGGTTGCATCATATAATCACGGATAGAAAGATTGTAGCTCCATTTCCCCAAGTTTCGTGTTTAGGGTTTAGATAGTTGCTTGATTTCTTGAAAAAAAGATTATAGTTTTTTTTTTTTTTTTTTTGGTTGTTGTTAAAGTTAGGAAGAGGAGAGGGAAAACTCATATATATGGGTACTATAGAGGTTTGAACGAGGATCACTTGAAAGCACACCAAAAATCTGGACCAATCCAACTAACACCTCATTGGTGATTATAAGGATGCTTATCTCATCGATTCAATTAATAATCTATCTAATGTTATTTTAGCGAATGAATATTTGAATGCAATTAGGATCGTTCTAAAGAAAGAACAAAGGAAATCAATTCGACTTGGAATTCTGTCCTTTTGCCATGAAATTTGATTGCACTTAACCAAATTTCTTTTCCGTTGTGCTTAAAATTTTGGGCAGGAGTTGCCTACAGATTTTGCCATTGTAATATAAGAACATGCTTTCGTAACAAATCTTGTATAAGTGCTTAAATTTTTTGTATGAGTTCCCTCCATTATTCTGCCATTGTAATATAAGAACATGATTTAGTAACAAATCTTGTGGAAGCCCAGATGCATATCAGACTTATCAGTTACAAAACAAAATACAAATCAAAGTTAATTCCAGCTCCTCAATCAAAACGAACCAAACCGATTTCTTCTTTGAATTGAAATTGCGATACTGATGCAAGTTCTTCCCTTCTGATTCAGACAGATTTGAGGGGGTTCTAAATAGCTTATCACAAAAACGCTGGCCACACTAGAAACTCACATAAATACAGTAGGAACTATATTCATTTCCCATCAGTACATACGAGGGGTACAACTGCTTTCTAATTGGGTTAGACAAGAAACCCTTGTATAATTGCCAAGAACCAAAGAAGCTCAGTCAGTTGTAGGGATTTAACTACCGAAAGTATAACGATCAACTCTTCGATTCAGCTATGGGCAGAGGCACCCTTCATTTTCCGCCCACAGGTACCAACTGCAGAGGAGACTTTAGCAACCTCTTTAGGGACTCAACTATACTAGCAAAAGACGGGCGCTGAGCAGGATCACTGCCAAAGACAATACACAAAATGAGAAACTAAACATACAAGTCCTGTCAAGAGAGATAAAGACTACAATCAGTCTGTTTGTAGATAAAAAGTAGGCAAGGAAAGATCTAAGTGATGCTGCCACCTGCAAGTTCTAAAATATGATGGAAATGCTCTTTCAAAGCACTGCATCCAAATATTTCGTTGAATAAAAGTATTAATTGTTAGGCAACCACTAGATCAAGAAGCTTAAGCTGGGGGGGAATGGGCCGACATTGTATATCAAGCTCACACTAATCTGGTATTAAAGCAGTAAAAAACAAGGTGTGGTTGAATTCCAGTTAATGTCTGCTGTCTTAGTAGCTAATATCCTAGATGGCAACATATACAAAGAAAGACACCGCCGAGCATTATCCAGGGCTTCGCCAGTATTGTCTCGCCAACCTCAGCTAAGTGCATTTGAACAAATTCTAATGCTAACAATGTTATATATTTGATTCGCTATAGAACTTGGGATGAGAATAGACGGCACATAGATTTACTGCAAGTAAAGTGAGCCTTAGCCACATTATTCTTCAACGTTATACTGTTCACACCACATGCAGAAAAGAAAGACCTCTTGGATCAACATATGCATCTAGAGGGTCCTAGAGCCATTTCTTCTCATCAGGTCATCCTTAAAACATGGCAAAAAAGGGAGGACTTGCGTAGACTTACTCAGCCCAGCAGGATTCCATAAGTGAAGCCAACACTGGCGGAGTATTGGCTGGGATAGCAAGCCTTCTGTTCTGGAAGGCAACAGCCCCAACTACCTGAGACATAGAACAAACTTGTTTACAAAAGGCGAAAAAATTGGAAATAAAGATTTGAAGTTGACATTTAATGTGCAGGAGAAAGCACAATAAAGTAGATGCAAATCATGACTCGTACCTGGGCGGGGCTAAGACCACTCCAAGGTTGTTCCATTGTTACAAGTTCCCAGAGGATTACTCCAAAACTGTAAACATCAGACTTCTCATTTGAGGGCTCTCCGCGAAGAAATTCTGGAGCCATCCACTCGGGCTGAAAAGAAAAATTCGTGAGTTACATGTTAATTGATGCACTGCGAAGTAAAATTTCAACCTGCAAAATATTGATAGAAATATCTGACTTTATATGGAGAACATAAAAAAAGAGTTCATAGTCATTTACTCAAAGCATTCATACATCACCAAATGAGGAAAGAGACTAAATGTGAAACACAGGAAAAAACAAAACAAAACAAGAAAAATGTTTGAACACCTCTATATTTTTTAAGAGAAAGCTCTACTTGATAAAAGAAATTATGTGAAGTGGGAACTTCATGATGGCAAAAATCAAGAATTTAATCCCTGTAACAAGTATTTATGAGACAAAAACCACATCAACAAACATTGACCAATCTGCATCCTATTCGTAGGAAGAAGGAACTGGACTACCAGATCATTCATTAACATAAATAAAGATTAAACATTGGCCAAAAGAAAATAAATAAATAAAGATTCATCAAGGATGATAAAGATTTTCCGGTACGGTCTGGTTTGGCACCCTTGCTCTGATTGGAGAGCTATAGGCACCACCCCAAAGGCTAGTTGTGCACACTTGCGCGCAACCTCTGTGTGTGTGTGTGTGTGTGTGTGTGTGTGTGTGTGCGTGTGTGTGAGAGAGAGAGAGAGAGAGAGAGAGAGAGAGAGAGGAGAGGCTTACTGTTCCTGCGACAGACTTAGATGAGATGAAAGTGTTCGCCTTAAATCTGGACAACCCAAAATCACATACCTGAGGATAAATGAAAGAGATTAATTATGTCCACAGCATGCCAATTGGAGAACTCAAAGCAAAATGTTAAACCGTTTTTTGTTAACGTACCTTCGCTGTCCAATTTTTATCAACTAACAAATTGGGAGATTTAAGATCCCAATGGACGATAGGAGGGTTAAGACAATGGAGGTAATTGATCCCTTTGGCCTGCATTAAAAACAGCATATACAGTTTCACTAACAGCAAACACAGCAAGTGAACAAAAAAACAATGATGATTAATTATACGAACCACATCCAATGCCATGCGCAACCGCCTCCTCTGATCCAGAAGTTCCCCAGAAGCTGGCCTGTGTATGAGGCGATATAGACTACCCCTGCTCCACGGACACCAGGATTGTAAAAGGTTTAGACACAAGAATGGCTATGGAATTATACACAGAAGAACTAAAATGAATTGAATACCTAGGCAGATATTCTGTCACTATTGACAGATGTGGACGCTTTGTAACTGCACCCATGAAAAGGACTACATTCGGATGGCGGACACGTTTCATAATTGCAACCTGAATACAATGTGAAAGTGAACTTCAAGTATGATCATAAACACAAAGCACAATACACAATAGTAAAATAAAGGCTAAGATGTGATCATCTACAATCTGATGATCTGTACAGAACATGGAAATCAACCTCTCGTAAAAACTCCTTCAATTGATCATCATGGAAATCCTGAACAGTTAGCACCTTGACAGCAACATCCTGCATTGGACAATCACTAAATTTTACTAATTTAAGGAAAATATTCAACAAAGAAAAAGCTTTAACAGAAAACTGCACTGATGTATTGCAAGGAAGCTATTCAGCATCCAACTGAAGACATCTCAAGAGTAAGGAACATATTAAGCAGAAAACTAAATTCCACTCAACCATCTAATCAAATTGGTGGAAACACCAAAAGTTACAAAACCTACCCCAAAGACACAAATAAAAAATAGAGCACACACAGAGGCCAAGCTCTACAATGACATGCTATTAAGCAATCTCATTATATGCATCACTCATAAAATTAATCCACTTGAAAGGGCCACGCATATAGAGCAGATTAAGTATTCATGTCATATCCAAACGAATTTTTATCAGAGAAACAAGTAATCACCATCAAATCACAAGGAACAAATTACTAACCGATCCATTCCATTCGGCACGATGCACTGTCCCAAATGAGCCTGGAAAAAAAACGAAGCATAAGATTTCATGAGGAAAAGAAGTAGTGGTTGAGTAATAAAAAATGTAAAGATATATCCGTGTCATAAAAGAAAAAGGGGGAGATGAAATACCAGCTCCAACGCGCTCTTTGATATTTAACTCGTCCCATGAGATCTCAAGCCAGTCCATTGCAAGAGAGGGTTCAAGATTCAAGTACCTGGGGATAGTCACAGCAGTAATTCTACCTTGTTTCACAAGTTCACCATGAACCCCCTCTATCTCTGATTGATTGAACACACGTACTTCAGGTTGCTTGACACTGTTGCTTATAACCTGACTTCTTGATACAACAATCTCCTTTCTGTACGCTTGTTGTACAACAATATTTTCTTCGCCAATTCTAGCAGATTCCTCTAATGATGCCACGGCAGCAGCAGCAGCAGCCGCAACATCAAGAGCTTGAGAAGCATCACCCTGGACACAAGATGGCATGGTACTTTGAAGAAGGCAATTTTGAGCATTTCCTTTCAACTCCAAAGGCACCAGAGAAGATTCCATCCCAAATTTAGTTTGATCAACTGGAAGCAAACTGCTTTCCGTGATGACCTGACCTCCCTCCCCACCGCCTGCAAGAGATAGATCTTTACCCATTTAAGAAGCTAAGGTT